ATCAATGCAATTAGCAGTGAAAAAGGTGGAAATCACAATGGATACTGCCAAAATCCAGAATATTATTAGCAGCTACTTTGAAAACTTGTGCTCCACTTGGGAGGCTGAGACTGGAGGACCTTTCTGAGTTTGAGACCAGCCTGGGCTACAAAGTGAGGTCAAGGGAAGCCTGAACTGCACAGTGAGACCCTGTCTCAAAAGGACAAAAAAAAGAAAAAAAAAAAAGAAAACCTGTGCTACAATACACCAGAGAAGTTAGAAGAAATGACAGATTCCAAGATAGATATGAATTACCAAAACTGAACCAAGAATATATAAAAACAAGGAATAATTCAATAAATTAAAAAAATTGAAGTAGTAATAAAAACCCTACCAACTAAGAAAAGCACAGATCCTTATGGATTCATAGCTGATTTTTTTCAAGAACTTCAGGAAAGATGTAACACCAATATTCTTCAAACTCTTTAAGGACACTGAAAGAGAAGGAGTACTCTCTAAGTCAATTTTGGAAGGTGCCATTATCCTGATTCCAAAACTAAAAATAATACAATCAAAAAAAGAGAACTACTACTAATTTCTGTTGGCTTATTGAAAGGAACAGTTAATGCTTAATTTTTTTCTTAATTTTTCTTTTGACGAATTTTGCATGCTTATATCTGATAATCTGAACAACTACTTTGAAGAAAATAATACGCAATATAACAACCATTGTTGATTTCCTATCATCTTGTTTTGAAATTCTATATTGTTTTTAATGTGTTTTAAAAATTTTTATTCTCTTTAAAATAAAAAAAAGAGAACTACAGGCCAATCTCTTTAATGAACACAGAACAGAAAAAAAAAATGCACAAATCATCAAAATGATCATATACCAAGTAGGCTGTATCCCTGGGATGCAAGCACGGTTGAACATATACAAATCAATAAACATACAGGAATCACATAAACAGATCATCTCAACAGATTCAGAAAAAGCCTCTGACAAAATCCAACAACCACTCATGATGAAAAGTATGAAGAAAACAGATATAAGAGAAACTCACTGAGAAAGAAATTAGGAAAACAACACCGTTTATAATACTTACAAGAAAAATTAAATACTTTGAGAGTAACCTAAACGAGAAAGTGAAAGACCTCTAAAAAGCTCTTAAAAAGCAGAGTGAAGAAGATATCAGAAAATGGAACGATACTGCTGTTCCTGGATAGGCAGAACCAAAATAGTCAAAATAGCTGTATTTCCAAAACTGATACACAGATATACTCCAATCCCAATCAAAATATCAACAGGATTCCTCGCAGAACTAGAGAAACAACTTTAAAATTCATATGGAACTAGACGTGACCCAAAATAGCAAAAGCAATTCCAGGTAACAAGAGCACAGCAAGGGATATCACAACCCCAGAACTGAAGTTATATTACACAGTTACAGTGATTAAAAAAACCCAGCATATTACTGGCACAAAAACAATACATATGTGAATCACTAGAACAGAACAGAGGATGCAGAAACAACTCCACACACATTCAGCCATCTGACTTCTCACAAAGGGACCAAAAATACACATTGGAGGAAAGACAGCCTCTTCACCAAATGGTATTAGGGAAACAGGTTATCCCCATGTATAAGAGTGAATCTAGACACATATATCTCACCATGTACTAAACTAAAATCAAAATGGGTCAAAGAATTAAATGTTAAAACAGAAACACTTAACCTGCTAGAAGATAAAATAGGTAAATCTCTTGATGACATCAGCACAGCAAAGACTTCCTGAAAAGAACCCCAATAGCACAAGAAACAGTGTAAGAACCGATTTTTTTTATCAAATTAAATTTTTAATCAAATTAAAAAGCTTCTGTACAGCAAGGGAATCAACCCGTTGGGTGTGGTCGTGCACACCTGTAATCCTAGCACTTTGGAGGCTGAGATAGGAGGTTGCTGCAAGTTTGAGGTCTGCCTAACCTATGTAATGAGTTCAAGGACACCCTGGACTGCATAGCGAGACCTTGTCTCAAAAAACTAGAAACAACAACAAAAAAGCCCCGAAAGAAACAAAAACAACCCAAAGAGTGAAGAGACAACCTACAGAATGGGAAAAAAAAGAGTTCAACATCTCTGGCAAGAAATGCAAATCAAAACATCACTGAGATTCCATCTTACTCCAGAAAAATGGGCTATCATCAAGAAATCAATACCAAATGCTGGCTAGGCTGCAGGGAAAAAGGAACTCTTCTACACTGTTGGTGGGAATGTAAGCTAGTACAAATACTATGGAAATCAGTATAGAGAGCTATCAAAAAATGAATGCTAGAAATTCCATTTGACCTACCTGTCATTCCCTTTCTAGGTATATTCCTGAAAGAGTTAAAGACATAATATTACTGTGATATGTACATAATGATGTTTGTAACAGCACAATTCCTAATAACCTAAATCTTAGAAGGGGTCTCTATTTCCATTAACAGATGAATGGATAAAGAAAATGTGACATTTATACACAATGGAGTACTACTCTGACAAGAAGGATAAACCCGAGTCATTTATAGGGAAACATCCTGCACCTTGAGACCATACATTTAAATGAAAGAAATCAAACAACTAAGTTTAAATATTGTATGATTTTTCTTAAATGATAAACCTAAAATAAAAAAAAGAGCATGATAAAAGATATATATAAGAAATAGGAAGATTTTCTTCAAATAAGAACCAGACCAAGAGACAGAGGATGGGGGGAGGAAGGGGATGAAAAAAGAATTGAGGTGTGTTACATACATGTACCAAGTCCCCAAGAGGATATAGCATGGACTGCTCCCAAGTAACAAGCTTCCTTCCTCTTATTACCTAATATAGAGTGTGGTCCTTAAAGACTCTTCCTTCTTCCTATGCAAGGAATGACAGCCCACTGAGAGTTTCTTAGGTGCCCAAAGTGGTCAAGAAGTCTCAGGAACTGCAAATGATTCCCTGAGGACAGAGTCCAGCAGAGAGAAAACATATTTATCTGAGATGGGAACAAGAATAAATGAAGCCAGAAGGCAGCCAGGGACTGGGAGCAAGGGGGAGCTGTGTGTACCTTTCCCAAGGCTGCCTCACTAAGTGTGCAATTTCCCAGTTTTGCACCTCCGAAGTCCAGAGTGGGTCTTATAGGATGGAAATCAAAGTGTTGTGTCAGCAAGACTGGGTCCTTCAGGTAGGATTCCCTTCCTACCGTTTCTGGCTTCAAGAGGCCACATGGTCCTCAGCTTCTGGCCCTTGTCATCTCTAAGCCAGCAGCACTGTATCACCTTCTTCTCCTGCCACTTCCATCATGAAGAACCCCACAAAGAACACCACGTGGGCAATCTCCTCAAGGTGCTTAACAGAGCTCCTCTACTTTGTAGGCTGCATGTTCACAGGAGAAGCCTTTCTCTCTTCAATTATACTTCTTAAGGAGCCAAATCTGAGGTTTAAGGTTACTTTGCATTTCTGAAAGCAAACTCAAAGCTCTGACTCAACCTGGAAGCCAGGAAGGAAACTGTGACATGGCAGTGGGGGCCAGGCAGGAGCACGTGAGGGTCTACCAGTTCCTCCCCACCCAAGTCCAGCAGGAAGCAGATGCTGTTCCTAGATCCAGCCATCTGGGCTTAGGGGCAAGGAACATTCTTACAGAGAAATATTTTTATCAAATATAAACAACCGATACTCAAAAAGGCAGAAAAATGGTACTAAGAAATTCAGCAAACTTAAAAAAAAGGGTTTAATCCTTGTAAGGCAAACTATCATCTGAAGATGATGGAAAATCTGAATTACTGAAGAGATTCTACCCTGAATATAACCATGTGCACTTTTCTGCTGCTGTTAAAAATTAACAAAAACCGTTTTCTTCCTTTGATGTTCTCTGTTGCACATCCAACAAAAACAGTATTTCTGACCTTGGCACAAGGATGCTCAGTGAACAGCTGCAGCTAGTTGTGCATTTGTAGGCAGCCAAGCCTTTGGTTAAGGGTAGCTTCTGTCCATCAGAGGCCTGGATGGAATCCAGGCAGATGCTGCCCACTGGGGCACACTTACACAAGACCCATTTTTCTGCAGTGGTCTTTTCAAGGCAGTCTGCATAAGAATAATACTGTATAGACCACCCCTCACAAAACACTCATTCATTTTGTCAAAGAATGACACTGCATAGACCACTTGCCAGAAAAAGCACTGGAAGGTGTGAAACCTACCAAAGGGCTGGCCAGTGGCCTCAGAAGAGTGGTGACAGGAATGTAGGCCATGGGACACAGGAGTCACACAGAGCAGGCCTTGCACATGACCATCAAATCATGCAATGGTGAACCTGTTGTTTTAAAATAAAAGCCAGGAGACAGACAACAATATTGACTTACAAAATTATTTTTAGTTCTGTTTCAGTCTTATGGAAAATGTGCACTGTAATTAGGCTTAATTCCAAGTAGATATGGAATCTTAGTATCATTACTCCCACAAGTATTGGAAAAACTAACTACTTACTTTTCCAAATAAGAAACTGCTAGTCATAATTTGTGTGTGCATGTGTTTAAATCTATGTTCACCTGAAAACACAGCAACCCAGGGTTTCTACACATGAACCTCACGGATCTTCTTGGACTATTCTCTTGCAGGGCATCCTGTGCCTTATAGGTGCTGAGCTCCTCTTGCTCCGGCCCACTGGATGCCAGAAGCATCCCACCTTGTCATGACAACTGTAACTGTCTCCAGATATTGTCTCATGTACTTGAGAAGAAAGCAAATGGATTAGAACTCAATCATAGCCCCAAGCCTGGCTGTCAAAGTGTTCTTAGTGTCAGACTCTGGGGATACATCACTTAATGTGCTATAGCTCTATTTTAATAGGAAACTTAGGTGCTAGCTTCCAAGAACACACACTTCTGCACAAGAATATTATCTTAGTTCCACCTCCAATGTCCAGCACACAGCAGCCTCCAGGGTCCCTGGGAGTGCCGCTGCCTGCTGCCTACGTCCTGCGCGGCGCTTGCTCACCTCTTTGTCCATACTTTCTAAGTCTTCCTTACAAAGAGTGTACAGCGGCATTGTCTCTGACATACTGGGCTGGCGCTTTCTTCTGGCAGGGCCAGGCTGCTCTCCATCTCGAGCATCGGGGAGCTCTTCACCAAACATCTGCTGCTGATGTGGCAGAACAGCTCTGAAAGGAATGTCATAGTCCCGCATGAGGAAAGCAGTCAGATTGCATGTTTCCAGCTCTGCGTGAGAGCCCTGACTCTTGAGCTGAGCCACGCATACAGAGAATATTCTCATGGAAAGGCAGGACATTCTGTGGATGACACGCATCTGCTATCTCTGACATGTTCAGCACACTGTGCCTCCTCCTTGGGCCAGCTACGGGGCCCCATGGAAGCTCACACTCACCTCCCTTCACCAGCAAACAGCCCTGTCCATGGGGCATCTGCCTGGCTCAATTCACTTTAGAACAAGTGGAAAAGGCGGGAGAGATGAACTGTCTCCTAGAAATTGCCTGGAAATATTATGAGAGCCACAAGACATTAAAGAAAACAGAACAGAAACAACACTATCTCCTACCCAGGCAATAAAACAGGCCCCAGAAATGCTGTGGTGACTTAAAGAAGACACAAATGAAGTGGAATTAATCTTTTGAGAGAATGGAAAGATATGTTAAGATATTCACTGAGTATTAGTGAAACAGATCAGCTAACAAGAACGAAGCCCATTTCAAGGATGCTTCTATCTGGAACTATCAAATGCTTATGTTGCACCAATTTTTCTATTGCTAAAATCTCAATTCTGTTTGAAACTGGATTTTCCTATATATGTACTTTCATCTAGATGTATTGATTCTCAGAGAATATATTTTTATGCATGTTGATGACTGTCAGAATTTAAGGTAAATCTCCGTGAAACTGGCAGTATGTCCTTTATGAGACATAGCTATTTCTTGTAGCTGGTTCCTCCCTGCAGTGGGAGGGTGAGCAGAGGAAGCACGGACCATCACACTGCCTCACTGGGCAACAGGCTGAGCCACTACTCACACTAAAGACAAGGCAGCAAGCCCTCATCATTAGGAAGAAAAATGGGGACATTTATTCAAGGTTACAAAATTAAAAAGCAATATATTAAGCTTCTCAAATGTTGTCTAATGCATGTTAGATTTCTGCCCAGAAATCAAAAAATGTGACCTGATTTTAATAAAGTTAAGACTTCATATATCTATATTGCTATCTTTGTCAAAATTCAGCTCATCAAAAAGAACTAACACAATGCATAAACTATCCACTTACACCAACATGGCCCATTCCACAGCCATCATCTTCTGCTCCTAAACTCACTGCTCAAAAGACATGTGAAAAAAAATCTCACACGCAGTAAAAAGTTTCTTTTTAATAAAAACAGATATATTATGGTCTCTTTTTAGGAAAGTTAATAGTTTAACAATTCAAATGTCAGAACAAGAATGCCCTCTCTATCAAAAGTGATCAGGCCAGAATTGATCTTTAAAGGTCTTTGGAGCTGAGGCCATGCTGAGACTCATGGCCACTGCAGGGTCTGGCAGCATCAGGAGACCACTTTAGGTGGACTGGCTGCCAGGTGCACAAGGACTGGCTTTTTCTTGCTTCTCCTTCACAAGATGTTACAGATCAGTCCATAAAGTGAGGGCTCCTCAGGCCCTCTGAGGGCATCTGCAAGGTTATTTTTCTTCCTATGACACCAGGGGAAGGCCACATTTCTTCCTGTACGTCTACCACTCTAAGACAACAAAGCATAATGGGACAAATGTTAAGCCAGAGACAAGATGCAAAAAATGTGGAATCAGCCATTCTTATTACACTCATTTTTCATTTGGAATAGTTAAAAGAATTAATCAATGATGTCTTTAAGATCTTTCAGATAAAGTTGGTTCCCCTCCAGCCCAATCCACCAACATCCTGCTATGGGGTCAAGAGAAGGCCCAGGAGAGGAACATGGGGAGCCTAAAGTCCAGCTCCACAGGCAGCGCAGGGCCCCTCCCACTCCTTGCATGGGGGTGACCGCACTAGAGGCAGCCCAGTGGAGCCAGAACTTTCATCATCCTCCAATGGTAATGTGGGCCCCAAGTTCCCCCACATCCCAAGGAACAATCACACCCCACTCCAATCTCAGGTGTCAGCAGAAGTCATGTAATAAGGAGAAACTGGACTTCTACCACTACCTTCAGGAACATGGTACTGCCTCTACTTCTGCTCCTACAGTGGAGTCACAAAGAATCAGTTAAGACAAGAATTAAATACGATCCAGTGTTGACATGATGACAAAGTGTGTAGGTTTCAATCCAAGTCACTGGTCATACAGCAGCCAGGAAGATCTCAAACTGATGAAAAAGATCATCAGTAGAGGCTAATTTCAAGATCACCAAGTTATTTGACAAAATTTTGAAACATCCATGATAAAAATGCTTCAATGATCAATGACCAACATGATTAAAACAAACAAACCAACAAACATCTCACCAAGGAAATAGGAGATTAAAAAAAAATGTAAATCTTAGAACTAAAATATATATATATTTTTTTTTTTTTTTTTTTTTTTTTTTTTTGAGACAAGGTCTTGCTATACAGTTCAGGCTGGCCTTGAGCTCACTTTGTAGCTCAGGCTGGTCTCGAACTTGCAACGACCCTCCTGCCTCAGCCTCTTGAGTGCTGGGGTTAGAGGTGTGTACCACCATGCCCGGTCTGAAAAATATATTTTTAAAGACTACAAAGGATGGGCTTGATAGCAACATGGAGGAGACAGTGTAGAAGGTCACTGAACAGAAATCAACCCATCTAGAGAGTGAACCAAGAACACAGCTTTGGGAATGTGTGAGATAGCAAAAAGACTTGGAGTCCCAAGAAGGTAGAGATAAACAACTGCTGGAAACATCCCAAATTTGGCAAAAGGTTTAAACTTTCTGATTTGAGAAGCTTAGTGAATCCCAAACATAACAGACTCTCCAAAACACATCATAATCAAACTTCCAATTACAAAAAGGAATCTTGTAATAATGACAGAAAAGCTGCCTTAAGCTACAGGGGAAAAGGACTGGACTGGTAGCAGTTTTCTCATCAGATCCAGAGGTTGAGAAAGACTAGATGCTTGCCAGGCACTGCAAAAGAAGAACTATCAACCTAGACTCTCACATCAGGAAAATTTCCATTAGGAATTAAGGGGAAATCAACACACCTTCAGTTGAAGAAAACACAGAGAAGGAGCCACCAGCAGACCTGTCCTGAGGGTACATGACAGAGCCCTGAAGCAAAGGAGAAGGAGGAGAAGAGAGCCCGCTGGGACCTTCCACAAGGCAGGCGTGTTAGAGCACAGGTACTGTGGTAAGCAGTTTTCTGAATTATGGGTGACTGCTGAAGCTAAATTATTATAAATAAACCCAAAGCAAGCAAAATGTAGAGCAGAAGTCAATGAAGCTGAAAATAAGAAAATAGAGAAGTCAGTAAAATTGATAATCCTTCAGCACGACTGACAGAAAAGAGACAAGATACAGCTCCGATATCAGACTGAAGGAGGGGACTCAGACTGAAGGAGGGGACTCAGACCAGAAGGCAGCCTAGGTAACGAGGGGCCACCGCTCCTCCCATGTCCTTCTTTCTAGTGAGCGCACCTGCCAAAACCACCCAGAGAGAAGCAAGTGACCTGGGCAGCCCTATCATTACTAAGTACAATGAAGATGTAATTTTTAAACTTTCAGAATGAAATTTCCAGCACCAGATGGTTTCACTAAAGAATTTTACCAAACACTTTAAGTGTGGCACCAGTTCTCTGCAGTCTCGTCCAGGGAAGAGGCGGGAATGGCCCAACCCATCTCAGGAGATGTCAGTCACACCCGCATAAAAGCTGGATGAGGACAACGCAGAGTAGGAGATCCACACTGACGGCTGTTGTCAAGACACAAAACACATTAAGATTACCATGTCCCACAACCCAGCAGGCTTCATTTCAAGGCTGCAACGTTCTGTTGATATTTTAAAAAGAAGATTTATATCAAGGTAATATACTGCAACAGACCTAAGAAGAAAAACCATATTATCACACCAATGAATACACATAATCATTAAAAAATCTGAATCAAACGGTGATAAGAAATCACTGAGAAGAAAGGTCCTTCCCCAAGTTGACGAAGAGCATCTATAAAAACCTATCGTTCACACCATCTTAAAACTGAGAGACAACACTCTACACTTGGACTAAGAAAGTAACAGCTCTGTCTACAGACCAGTGGAATGGCAGAACCCAGAGCCAGACCCACACAAATGCACTTATCTGATCTGGTGGGAGGTGCAGAAGCACGCCAAGAAGGAAAGACGTCATTTTCAACAAATGGGGCTGGAGCAAAAAACTGCACAGCTTCAACAAAGACTGACTGAAAAATGGATCAACTACTTCTGTCTAAAATGTAAATCTGAGCCGGGCGTGAAGGCTTATGCCTGTAATCCCAGCACTTGGGAGGCTGAGGCAGGAGGATCGCTGTGAGTTCAAGCCAGCCTGGGCTACAAAGTGAGTTTGAGGCCAGCCTGCACTACATAGTGAAACCCTGTCTCATAAAGACCAAAAAACAAAAACAAAAGCAAAAAAAACAAAAAACAAGCAAATCTGTGAAACTTCTAGAGTAAACAGGAAATCTTTGGAACCTAGAGTTAGGCTGACAGTTAAGACACAATAATCAAAACACAATTCATAAAAGGAAAAGCTAATACTGTAAAACAGAACCTCACAACACAATGTTTCTCGGGCAAAGAGTCTGTCAAGACAATCTACAGACTGGCAGAAAGTATTTCCAACCCAGGACTAGTAACTAAAATATAAAAAGAACTGCAAGCAACAGGAAGAGCCAAGTGAGCTGACGAGAAAAAGAGCCATTTCACCCAAGTAGATAAGCAGGTAGAAACACAAGATGTTTAACATCACTATTTGAAGGAGGTGCAAATTTAAACCACAATTACATCATAACACAAGTGCCAAAATTACTAAAATGAATGGGGACTATGGCAGTATGATCATTCGTTCACCACTGCTGGGAACAGGCAACAGCACAGGCATTATGGAAAACAGTCTGGCAGTTTCTTAAAACAAGAAACACACTCCTACCATACTATGCCCCTGGCTAGTTATACTAGGGAAATGACAACTTCTATAAGCATT